AGTAGTAGTAGTAGTAGTAGTAGTAGTAGTAGTAGTAGTAGTAGTAGTAGAAGTGGATCTTAATTGAGGGAAGAGTTTCGACTTTACGACCTGTAAAATATTGCGTATAATATATAGGAAATCACGATGACGTGTACAAATTGATGGTTGACAACATTATTAATTATTATAATACAAGACTTTATTTTATTTTTCAATTCACAATAATTTTGTATTTATAATTTATTATTAATTGAAAAAATAAAAAAAGTTGATTTAATACAATAAAAAGCAAACTTCAACTTAATAAAAACAAAAACAAAAAAAAGCCGGATAAACGAACGAAAAACGTGTATGTTACGGTCGTCAGTCAAAGAAGGAAAACAATGTCGTTAATGTTAGGAAACATACTAGCTGTTGCGTTTACACAGAAATCTATTAACGATGAACACAATGTAACTCAATAACTTTACAATGTCGTTATTGATATTTATATATATATATATATACATATATATATATTTTATATATAATATATATGTTATAGACCTACAAATAATAAATAGTGAAGTGTTAAAATTGTTTAATTTAACTTTTGAATTTTTCAGTCGTAGAATAGACGATCGAAATCAAACTAAGTTAAATTTTATAACGGTGTAGATACATATTGTTTTCACGATTAAAGCTTACCGTACTCTGTTTATTGCTCATGTTATAAAATAAAATAAATATTCCACACTTTTACAGTATTATAACGTTGAATTGGATCATATACAGGTGTAACATAAAAAATGTATACGTAGATGTAATTACAAATATGAAAAACTTTTATTTTATCTTGTTTTTAATATGATATGCTTATTGTCAATTATAAATTACGAAAGTAAAAAAATAATATTTACAAACAAAAATTTATTATAATACAGTTAGATAATTACATTTTTCAGCTATTTCAGTTACACTCTGCACACAAACTATTATGATATCATTATTCATTATATTATGTGTACCAATAATAATATAATATAGGTATCAACAATCAATAAACTGCCTCGCAACCTAGGTGATTATATAAGTATTTTTTATACCTCCATACTTTTAATAATATTTTTAATCAACTACGGATATTGTAAGATAGTACAACAGGCACTTTTTCTTCAAACATAATGTATAGTTGCTGTCTATATAATATTAAACTCGTACAACCCATATTTTAATAATACATAATATATGCATCTGTATATTATATGTTTAACCAGGCTATGCACATAAATATGACGTTGTATACCGTTATAATATTGCAGTTAAATATCCTAAACTAATTTGAAACGAATATTATATAGTTAATGCGTCTCGTGTGCGAAACGCGATAACGTAAACGTCTTGCAGTTAAATGTTCGCATCATTTTATCACAACTCAATAGTGTATAGATAAAAACTGGCTATTTGATATTCATTGAGTATCCTATTCAGTAAATCTAAAAAGTAAAACAAATAACTGCAACAGTAACAGTTTTAAAAAAGTAAAAAAAAACTATTGATCATTATATTAATATGTTGCTTGGAAAATCTTATACTTAGACAAAATACATTAAAAAAATAAATAAATAAAAATAATAGCACAACTTATCAACTATAAACTATGGAGAATGTATATAAAACATAACCGATCGAAAATATGATTTAATTTATCAACTTCAAATTATGACAAGGGTATATAAATGACAATCAATATAATTATTACCTATATTATACATTACAGTTATAAATTTATAATATATAAGTATAAAATTCAGTACAATACTTGGTTATAATTCTTGGATAAAAATATTTGTTAAGTAATTGTTTTATACATTATGATTACTTATGTTTTAATAACCGATTAAACATTATTTTAGTTATTTATTTTAATAATTGTAAAAAACTAAAAAAAATGAAATAAAATATTTAATGATTTAAATATATTATAATATTTTATAATATGTGAATATATGCTAAATTTATGTATAAATATTAAACTGAATTCAGTAAAATATTACAGCACATAACTTATTTACACGTTTTACTTGTGATAAAAATATTTTTTTAATGTGTCTAAAATTAATGATGTAAAATCAGTGAAATTTTATATTATATATCCGGTAAAACTGATAGTATAACCAAATTCACGATTTGTAATAAAATGTCGACAAAAGTACAATGAAAAAAGAAAAAAAGAATTTTTTTATAAAATTAAATATTTTTTAGTAATACAATAATTAGATATTTACAATGCATATAATATTATTTTCAAATAATTAAATGATAAAACACTTTTTTAGTATTATTTTATATTTAGATAATCAAGTCGTTACAGCCACTGCTAGTCAATCATTTGAGGTTACCTGGAATATTTTACAAAAAAAAAAAAAAAACAATATACACATAAAATTAAACAAACTTCAAAAATGAAATTAATTTTAGACCATTCAATGAGATTTTATTTTAATTAGATAAACTTATTGGAGTTATAAAATATTCACATACATAATTATTAACTGTCGACATAATAGAAACTATAACGTTACTATAATTATAGCGTTTGTATATATACCCCACAACAAAGAAAATATTTATAGAATTAGTTTTAATTGTGTTTTCTGTTCAATTATAGATTAAACGTTAAGATAAATAAGTTAACTACTAAGATTCTTATTTGGTTAGGTACATAGAAGCCAGCTTAAACACAGAGAGAAAAATTAATTTTGATATTGCAATGCTTATATACATAAATATAATGTACAAAACAAAAATATCATATTCTCAGCGACAGAGCTCTAGACAAAAGGTCGATAATAAATTATAATGAAACAAAAGAAAATATATACATATAAAAAACGTCTGAACAGAATTGCATTATGTACATTCTACCGCGGTTTTAATTTATTGTAGGTATACATAAACTATATGAGCCATTGACACATACATTCATGTATAATAAATCTAAATCAAAATAAGAGTTTTAAAATCAGAAAATGTTCAATTTTCAACTGATTCATGAATAGTGCGATTAGAACTTTCGAGCGCGCCGCACTAGACTAACCCATAAAACGATTTAACATCTTTATAGGTATATAATAAGGTGTATTACATACCAGTAAATTAAAAAACTATTGATGTTATCTAATTTCCTGGCGGCGTGTCGAAGCACGAAAACTTTGACTTTTTCTCAAAAACATCCGTTTCGCGGACGATTGCCAACCAGACCAATTAGGAGATAAGAAACAAGTTTTTAAAAGCGTATTACGGTTAACGAACCATTCGGAACGAAATTACCTATCCGTATAAACGGATGCTGCTGATCTGTTCTGCAAGCTTTCAGAGTGACGGCACCGTGGTGTGTTTTTTTTTCGTTTTGCTATGTATATAGGTACCTATTATAATATATTATACTATGTTTATCCGACTCGACTATTTACATAAACACTATTATAGCTATACCATTATAATGTTCTTGGAACATCTGTTTTTATTTTTATATCCCATCACTGTCTCAGACCGTAGTGTACATTGGTGCACTATGATGCGCGTGGGCAAAAGCGCTTCGGATATTTAATTCTCCAAGCTAATAATAATAACATAAAAATTTATTATTTCTAATATAAATAGTATCGCTCAAGAATTACACTCACACATAATATTATACATTCACCCGTGCAAGTATCCATATTAATAATTCCTTTAATGATTTTTAAACGCACGTTCTACATTAAAAGGTTATTAGTTGTCCAAAAATTATTAAACTTCCGCGCAAATAAGCTCTTTATAAATCAGCGCATGCTGTTATTGCGCATTTCATATTGTACAGTGCAGTGTAATATTGTACAATAATTATATTCTAGGCGTATGAAGTATGATATGCAATGTATATTCCATGTACACGACCGGAATAATTATTATGGACTCTTTCGTTTTAGATACTGATCGATTTGACCGATCCAAGTTTCCACAAAGTAATTAAGTTTAATCATGTATAAACTTATAGTTTGCTGTTATAAGTTACGTATCCTGAACGTATATCATGTTATCACATAACAAACAACCGCGTTGAAGTTTGTATATTGTTTGTAAACTGCCCAAACAATTTTTATTACTCCCCATAATGACTGAAAAACTTATATTCGAAAATATTCTAAAAAACAGTGTATGTTTTTATTTGCATTTAATAAATACGAATAAATATAATTTATATTTATTTTATTGCTTGATTTGTTAACATCAATATTAAAAAATTTTCAAATAACCTAAAAACAAGGTTTAATTTTAATCAACGGAAAATATTGTAAATAAAATAGCTAACAAAAAAAAAAATCATGCATGTTACAAAGAAGATACTTGAGTTGAATATATTTAAAGATGATGTTTTGCAGCATGTTTTTAAACAATACATTTTATTAATAACAAAAATACACTGCAGTCGTATAGGTGTAAGGAAAAGCATTACATATTTAATATTATAATATCATTTAAATTAACATATTTACAAATAATTAGAAAACGCCATTTTTATTAAAAATACTTATATTGTGACTATGATGTACATACAACCCATTAATACTATGATAATTCAATATATTACCTAAAATACGTTTTATAATTTCCATAAAATTGGCAGCATTTATATCGTTTAAAATGAAAGTTATATGAAATGTGACAGTAATAAACAAGAAGACTGCGGTTAAAATTTAATTTAGCATCTAAATGCATAATATTTCCAGACACAATATATATGTGTATATAACTTACACGATATACATTTTCTTTAATGTCACACGGCGATCTTAAACATTCCGAAAACGTAATACATACAAACCCAA